ACCACTTGACCTGTGTGTGTGTGTGCGCCTGTGTGTGTGTGTGTGTGTGCCTGTGTATGTGCAACACTTGTCAACATGTATTACAGGTTTATGTCTTCCTGCACCTGTTTGTGTATGTTTTTTTTTTTTTCCTAGTATGATTGTAAAAACTTCTGATACTGGATTGTGATAGCCTCCCATCCTGTACATCAAATATTCTGCTAGAAAAAAATACACAGTAGGCCAAAACAACTCAAATGGTGACGTTGCAGCACACAACAAGGCCAAGAATATGTAAACAATAAAAAAGTAACAATCAAAAAAAGCAACTTAATTGCTGGCTGGCTTAAAATTTAGCTTTTTAGGCTCCTTCACATTAACCAAAGCAAACTTTAATGTTGTAGCACTTGGTATTGTTCAACTGAAAGACATCATGAAGTGTATAAAAAGAATCAAACTGACAAAAAATAAATAAATCATGACTACACAGTTTTTAGGAAAAAAGTATATTGTGTGTATATATATATATATAGATAGTTATATATATATAGATAGATTTATATTCATTTATACGCTTTTAAAATAGCACAGTAAACACTTTGCACACATGATAAAAACCACAGATTGTGTCTGATTGTTTTTGTGTCGGCCGATGGCGTCAACAGAGCCAAATATCACGAACGGGTTATTCACTTTCAGTGCAGTCAGCTCAGGAAGGACCTTAAAAATACAAATAAGTGCTTTGAAAAACGTGATCCAATGTGAACATTAATTTCTGATGTTTTATTTATAAAACCAACACGAGATCCTTCTGCACAGTGGTTTGTCCAGATCTCCTTCCTGAAGTGGCTTTGCTCGAAAGAGGAGGGAACCAAAGGAATTCCTGTCTGTAACGGTGAGTTTGGATATTTGTCGTCTGCACACGTTTATCACACAAAAAGAACAACGGAAACAAAAAAAAAAAAAAAAAAAAGAGAAGTTATATAAAGACAGTCAAGTAAAAAAAACAAAAAAAACATAATAGATTTTATATTACTGCACGCCATCGCTTGTCCTTGTCTCCTTACACTTGTATTATTCATGTACAACACCTGCTCTCTGTTTCTATCTCCTTCTTTCGTTATCCGTCCGCTTCTCGGTAACGGAGTCTCCAACTATCAGTCTCTTTTTTTTATTTCCATCCAACGGTGTCTGTACAGCTGGCTTAGTGGTGATCATAGAAATAGCTAAAGGGTTCCGTAGACATTGGTTGAAGTCTGTACAGAAACAATAGGTCTTTTTTTGTTTGTTTTTCTTGATGTAAACAGGCACACACATTTTTCTAGAGGCTAACCCCTCAGTCAGAATAAAAACACCTCTCAGAAGGTTTATTTGTCCCACTTGCTTTGATTTTTCAGTTCCCTTTTTTTGTCTGTAAAATGATACCGTTTTAATCTTCCCATGGTCAAGAGCTTTGGCCCCGGTCTCAGTCCTGCTGAGAGAAATTAAGCCTTGGATTGCTCCTCGGGTATCCAGAGGTTTACAGCTACTCAGTAATTATTTCTCCTTTCCTCCCTCAGCAGCCACTGCCAAGGCTTCGTTACAGTTCGCCACCCGAGATAATGAAGTTTAACCAAGGTTGCTGTTGTCCATGTTGCCTCTCTTTAGTGTTCCTATGCTGTCTCTAGAATCAGTGATGGTGGTCTACTACAGAAATTCACGCCGTCTCCGACAGGTCCACGTGGAACGAGCTAGCAAATCCTTTTGCGGGCTGAAAAGAAAGAGAACACGCTTGTTAAAACAAATGACATGTTTTCTCATGAGGCATTTTAGAGACACAGTCAGATCAGAATGTCATTTCCTGCCGGATGTGTGCCACTAAGGACTGCGTGAAGTTATTTAAATACGTTAAACACTGACGGTGACAGGATATGTGATATAATAAAACAATATGTGGGAATGGGGTTAAAAATTTACCCTTCATTGAGAATAAATCATCACCATTAGGTGGCTGCTTAATGCAAGGGTAGAAAATACAAAGTGTTCTAATTGCTTCATTAATTATCTATAAATGGGTCATTAAACATTTACAAATGTTTTTACAAGGAACTGCAATGGTCACGGTATTGCCACTGCAGCATATATATATATATATATATATATATATATATATATATATATATATAAAAAATAAAATAAAAAAACATAAACGGTGTCTATAATTAACAGAATGTTAGTTTAGGAGTCTTTTCATTTATTTTATGAAATGATGAGCAGCAAGATTCCCAGCTTAGTTTCACTGGATTCATTCTTCTTTGAAAAGCCCTAAACCTGAACTAAAATATACGTAAAGAAATGTCCATTGTACTATTGTTTTGGATTTTAGACTGAGTGTGTTCTCCAAACCCTGCGAGGCAGTCTAGATGAGCACCCACACGAGAAGACAAAATTGGAGCAAAACAGGCTCCAGAACCTAAAGGCTAAATACCAATTATTTTCACACAGACCTGACATGACAAACAAGAAAAAAAAAAAAAAAAAGTATATATTTTTGTGCTCATAGTTTACCTGAGAGACAGCCCACAGCCAGCATGCACAATCATGGACGATGGTGGTTAACATGGTGGTGAGATGACTGGAAATGACTTCTCTACTGAATATCAGATCCATCCTGGACTCTTAGAGCTCATGGAATATTCATGTAATGTGGAAGCTTTGAAAATAACTGAATGCAGCCAGGAATGCCCTGACCTTTCCACGTTCAGTGTATAGGCATTCACACTATTGTGATCCGCTTTATATTTATTATTATGGGTTTCTTTAAAGTATTCTATGTGATTTTTGACATCTTTCTCGTTCTGCAATTTTGTGATATTTCAACAAATCCTAAATAAAAATGTTCAGTTCTTTCAGGCCAATCCTGGTATGACTTTTGGTATTGGTGCAACTTTAGCACTTAGAGATATTTAGCCTTTTCAATCATTTTATTATTTTTTTTCCTTAGAAAATGAATTGAGCTCATTTTACATTCTTCAAATCTTCAGATCCATTTATAAACTTTTACTGCTCCTTTCACGTTTTGTTCCGGTTCAGCTTCTTTCAGTTTCTTTGTGTAAATTTAAACTTTTTTTTCAGCTACTTGCAGCTAGTTTTAGCTGTTTTGTGCTCCTTTCAGATTATTTCTGCTAACTACAACATCATTGTGCTTCTTCTAAGTACTTTCTGCTAATTGCAGCTTCATATGTTCCTTTCAGCTTATGTCTTCAAGTTTCAACTGTTCTGTTATTTCATCTACTATTTAGCTGTTCATTCAAATTTTAGCCTTTTAAGCTAATTTCACTTATCTCTCTCTCTCTCATCCTTCTGGTAAGTTCAGCTTCTGCTTTTTTTAGCTACTTTTCAGCTGTTTTTTTTTTTTTTTTTTTTTTTTTTTTTTTGGGGGGGGGGTGCTAATTTCTGGTTTTGTTTTAGATCATTTCTATTTTTTTGTGCTAATTTGTGCTTCTTTCAGCCTAATTGAGCAAACGTTTTTTTGTTTTTATTTTTTTAGCTGTCTTCTGATAATTTAAGCTTGCTTTACACTTTCAGCTGCCTTTTTAGATAATTTCTGCTGTTTTCAGAAAAAAAAAATGCAAGTTGTTTGTGGCAATTGCAACTTTCATCCTAAATTAATTAATTCTACTAACTTCAGCTTACTATGATCCTTTCAGCTTATTTCTGCTAGTTTCAGTTATTTCATCTACAATTTAACTACAATATATTATGCTATTTTAGCTTTTTTCATCTAGTTCTACATTTGGCTTAGTTTATTTCTGCTCTTTCCACATGCTTCTGTTAGTTTAAGCTTCTTTCTGCCTTTTCAGCTATTGTTTTTGCTAATTTCAGCCTTTTTTTTAAGCTAATTTCATAATGTCTGTGCTCATTTCATCTTATTTAAGCCCAATTCAGCAAACATGTTATTTTTGCTTTCTGTTGCTAATTGTGGCTTGTTCTTCCATTTTAGCTACATTTCAGCATGTTTTTTTATCTAATTTCAGCTGTTTTTCAGCAAGTTTTTCAGCAATAGGCATTTACACTGCATTTTCACAGGAAATGCAATTTCTTTAGTATTTGTTTTTAATCAAGTGGAAAAAAAATCCTATTTTTTTATATCTATATATTAAATTATTCTAGTAAATGTGAGTAAATAACCAACTAAAGAATCTTGAATTCATGGTTGAAAGGCAGCCTCAACATTCTGCTGCATGTCAGGTATTGATCAACATGCAAGGATAGACACTTGGGTTCCTTTTTAAAGCAAAATGGACTTCAATCCTTGTGATGAAACTGAGGCGTGGGTTGTCTGCCTCACCTTTAGAGCTATTCAGTAGGGAAGTCATCATGCTTGAAAAGAGATGTTGAGGAATGGAAAATAAAATGCCTTCTCCACCATGACATAATCTGTCTTTTGCTCTTCTCTGTGTTCCAAAAAAAATGTTTTATGAAGTGTAAAACTGCTAGAATGTGAAACTGTTCTCTGCAACCCTGGACCTGTTCTTGTATTGATGGCCTTTACAAGTATGAGCATCAGATAAGAAGGATTTTACATTTGGGGGGGGTGGGGTTAGAAAACAGGGAAAACAAACAAAAAATTGGGGCCACAACAAACTAACATTATTCCAATTCATATTTGTTTATTTTGTAATAAGTCACATGATTACAAGCAGCATTTAAGGTTATTGTAGGGTTGAATGCAAAGGAAAAAATAAAATAAAAAATAAGGAAGATTTGGAGAAAGGAGGCAGGAAATTGTTCATTGTACATTTGAAAAAAAGTACAAAAATAAAATAAAATGAAATACAACAAAATATAAGGTCGTATTTTGAACTGATTGAAAGTAGAAAAAGAAAGGCTGGTTAACAGCAGAAAATGTCCAGATCAGAATTAAGATTCATCGTATCCTTCTTTAGTATCTGTATGGGACCATACCAAAGTCATAGGGTCCCATTGAAGTTTCATACTGATACTCACAGAGAAAGGTTGGTTTGTACGGCAGAGTCCCCCTATCATACTCTTTCCTCTCTAGCGTGCTGGAGCTGTACTGCTGCTGTTGCGGATGGAGGTGATTTTGAAGGCTGTGGTGTGACTGTGATCTTTGGCCGTCCTTGCCAAAAGTGGAGAATGACCTATCGTTGGACGAGGCGGTAGACGAGGTCAAGGTGAGTTGGTCGGAGAGGTTGACGGAGGAGGGTACCTCAGTATCGGGCAGTGTGGCGTCCATGCCGGGAACGTGCAGATTGCTGCGGTAGTCCGGCCCCTGGCGCCCGTCTGATGGCACGAAGGACGGCATCCAGCAGCGGTCGGAGTGACCCAGGGCCTTGCACTCCTCCGTGCAGTTGGAGAACAGGTCAGCGCCTGCAGAGCAAATACAAATGACAAACGGAATGTGGGAGTAAGATTGGAGGAAATGTGATCAGATGAATATGATGATAAGAATAATAATTAAAGTAAGAGATCATAAGAATGAAATGAGGATGGACATTTGGAGTGGAAACAAACGGACGGTGGAAGAGAAGATGGAAAGAAACCACAAGAGGAACCACAAGTCAGTAATCACTTCCCAATGTCACCGGCAGGAGAAAGGCAGAGAAAGCCATTCATCAACAAGACAAAAGACGGAACTGACGAAGAGAATTGTTTGTTTTTCTCCTCACCCCATTCATTTAGAAAGAAATATGCAATCAAAGGGATGGGGGTTACAGAAGCTCTTGAACATCCCCCACCTGCTCACATCAACATCCTCAGTCACATTTGATTTGGAAATGCAAAAAGACAAAATGCAAATTTATATCCTTTTTTTTTCTATTCACTTGTTGCACAATCCCACACTAATGTCAATCATGCATATACAAATTGAAGAATTGTGTAACTGACATATAACAGCTGCCAAAAATAAAATATTAGCATAAAAATTAAAAAAGCTAAATCTGAAATAATATAACAAAACACCACACATGTACTTACACAATTATGCATAAGAGACCAGAATTGTTGGTTAAACACACCAGGTACTGAAAGCAAAGGTCCACATAATGTTACCACTCACATGTATGTAATATTGGATCTCCTGATGCATGCTCAATAATATTGGATATTAATAATAGTAAGATTGGATCATTTTCTTCAATAAATACTGTAAATTACCTAGCATGTTATTTTTTGTCTCATTTGTTTAACTGGGTTTACTTTACTTTTAGGACGTGTGAAAATCTGATGTTTTAAGTCATATTTATGTAGAAATATAGAAAAAATATAAAGTGTTCACATTCAAGCACCACAGTAAATGGTAAATGGACTGCACTTATATAGTACTTTTCTATCTTATCAAAATACGCAAAGCTGTTTACAACACAACGTGTGTCCTTATTTACCCATTCACACAGCACTCTACTGGATCTGTACAAAGCTAATCTGAATCTGCAGAGATTAATCAGTGCTTGTTATCACTCAAATACCAATGGGACACACATCGGAGGCAGTGAAGGGTTCAGTGTCTTGGACACTTTGGCATTTGACTGCAGGTGGAATTGAATCCCCAGCTCTTGCATTGGAGGATGACTGCTGTAACCACTCAGCCACAGCTGCCCACAATATATCATGATCTTAGATTAATCCGATAGTAGACTATTAAACAAGTGTAAACATTAGACCAAGTATCACATGTATACTACTCAATTTAGATAAAGTGTATTCAAGTTGTTTAATTATTTATTTATTTTTGGTTTGTATATTTTTACAGGTTGCCCTTTAGATTTAGATGTGACAATTATTGAAATTGCAATTAGTTTCCCTAGCAATTTAGAAAATAGGCTAAAATGTTGACATGGAGTTGGATATAAAAGCATTTTTTTCTGCAATAGTTGAACAATAAACATAAGTTTGTTACATGCTATACGTTTATAACAAGAACTGATCAATACAAACACATCAGCAGTTTTAAGGATAACAAACTACAAAATTATAGCAATATAATGATAAATTATATTTGCCATTTTGCTCTTAATACCATTTATTATTATTTTTATGGTGCTATCTGGATGTAAAGTGAAGAAAGGAGTGCTTGGAAAAGTGACACCACTCACAAAGAAAGATGGTGCACCGCCTCTTCTTTCACTTCGGTTTGTTTGTGGTGTCAGACTGGATGCTGCTGCTCTACTGGTCTGTGGATTCCAGACATGTTCCTTCTGTCTGATGCCAATTTAACAAACATCAAACTAAAACGGTAGAGTTGGCCTATCAACACGCATCGAGAACAATATACACTTATTCACCAGCTATCAGGGAGCCAGGCATGCTTTAGAACTTGGTTTATTCTTTGAATTATTTACCCTAGACTTTTCTTTTCAAACTATATATATATATATATATATATATATATATATATATATATACCAAATACTGGTACACGCTGAAAGCATTGACTTAACTCGCTGTAACAACAGTTCTCCAGTGAACCTTTAAACCTTTTAAAGTCAACGCACTGTTCTGTCCCATCAACGTGTTGAAGCACCACCACTGTGACAGATTCTGCTCCTCTTTATTTGCGTGCATTGTGTGGATCTAATGTTGCTGCTAATTGAGGCCCCATGGGGAGCGAGCAACGCCACAAGACTTCACAGTGGACAGAGCGCCAGTGGAGACACAAGGCTCACAGACAGCCAGGACCGAACGGCTCAGGGAGTCGCAGATTTCACAGACCAGGACAGCAGGCGGGAGAAGCAGCAAGGCTCCAGGAACCATAAGGAAGGAGAGGGGAGACCCGAGCCACTACAGACGGAAAAAGAAATGTCCAGATCAAAACAGGGGGAGACCCAACCATCACAGATGGAGAGTGGAAAGAGGAGCAGGGGACGGCTTTGATTTAGAGGGAAGAAAGTTGAAAACTCTGACTAAACATTTGTTTTCGGTTTCTTTAACTTGCCATGAGGAGATTCTTTGAACACCCATCCAGCTGTGTCACTATTCTAAACTTGCTCTTTGCAAGTGAAGCTGCTGCCCATCACAGATACATAAATGCTGAAAAGCCAAGAGATGTGTAAAGGTTGAATTTGTATTGAAAGCAGGTCAGAAGTTCAACGAGACTTTTATAGCTTGTGTCAAAAAACGAGTTATGAAATGCATTCTAACTATTTTGCATTATTTGAGTAAAGTTTTAGAAAGACAGATAGACAGCGACATCCTTTCACCTCATCACACAGGGTTTGATTCAGCATTTTTTTAAAGACATCTAATGTCTGTTGGATTTGTTTACCCCTTTCTCCTCTGAAAGCCTTAAAGAAGAGGCACACTTCAGTGCTCGCTGCTGCCAGAGTGTTTTTTATTTATTTATTTATTTTTTTTTTATCACAACGTAGCACAGGAGAAATGTGGCTCAGTGATAAAAAAAAAAAACTGGTGATGAGGAGGAGAATCTACGGAGCAATCCCTAAAATTCAAAGATCAGTTCAGCTAAACTGTACAGGGACGCTGACGCAGTTTTTGAATGGCATTTTCTCTCTGAATCACCATCAGGATTGACAAATATTTAGAGCATCTGTAAAGGTTGGGCGCACATAAATCACATACCCAATCCCTGTCACTGGTAATGCCCATCTCGCATTTAGCCTTTAGCTTTTTTATGAACTCCTTGCAAATTAACGGCTCCCTCTGACACAAAGGACACTGACCTCAGCTCCTCCAATCATTTCTGAGCTGCTGCGGCTAAAGATTTGAGGAACTCTGAATATTTAACTCTAAGAGTAAATTAGTAGAATAACCGAAGCAGAACTGTGCACAGGGAAGAGATCTGTAGATAAAAAGTTATTGCCAATGGATTAAGTTAGCTTAGTTTTATATATTGTTCCTGTATTATTAATCAGGTGCAGGGGCAGCTTGTACTTTCAGAATGATTTCTAAATATAGCCTGCACCAATCACTGTTTACTTTTATGTGGCTTCGAGAACGTTGTGTCAGAGCTCCACGTTTACTCAGTAAAACTTCAAAAAACAGCATCATCACACGTTTCCCAACTCATGCACACACCTCCACAAAAAAAAAAAAAAAAGCTTCTTAAATGTGAGAATATGTAAATATACGGAAGCAAACAGACAGTCAGGCGATCTCGCATGACACCATGTGACTCTTGATCTCCATGATGCACCTTTTCTTCTTCAGGCACGAAGCCAAACAACAACCGAAACAGTGACTGGCAATGACAGGCCCTGCCAGCAGCCGTCGCATCGTGACCTCAACAGGCAGGAAAAACATATTCCTGCTCTATTTCCACACAAACACCCAGAAGAGGAAATGCAAATGATTCGGCACAATCTAAACACGATCTACGTGCTAATAAGCAATCAGCACTTCAGTTCTTTTCGCTTTACTTGCTTTTTTTCCCATTACATCTCTGAATGTTTCTGAAATCCCATGTTGGTGTGATTTGACTAATTGTGCTGTCTGAGATACACCCAACCTCTGGGAGGAAAGAAACCAGAGGAAAACAGATTGTGGAAAAACACACGTCCCGTCTTTGTATTTATTTTTTTGTGTGTGTTCTGTTTGCACAGATTTGCAGTCGCTTCTTATACCTGAACTCATTTCTCTGATCCGTTCTCCATCTTCATTAGTCTCCCGGTGTCTTTTTTCTGTCTTTTATTTCACGTCACATTTAAGTCTCCTCACCTATTATTTATTTGTTGTTTTTAGTTGTGTGTTTTTTTTTTATTTTCCAGCCCACCAAAACGTCTTTCCCGTCCCCAGGTGGAGGGTGTCTTCCATCAATAACTCTGTTCTTCATCTTGTCATTCACTACTCCAGAGAGAATACTGACACAAAATGTCAATGTTTAGACGGCACCACGGGACGACAGGGGAGTAGCAGAGCTTCCTTACACAGGTTGACCGGTGAGCCTGAGATGAGTAAACCAGAAACCTCACAGGTGCAAAAAAAGAGCAAGATGGTTTCCAATATTCCCACTAATGACAGAGAGACAAACTGTTCGCAGCTATGAATTTCAGTTTCTGCAGCACAGCAAGTGAGCTGGAAAGGAGAGCCCAGAGGCCAACCAGTGTCTGCGTGATTTATACGCCCTCTTATACATTGTTAGAGCACATGCTTAGGATTGCCATTGACTATTGATATTTGGTTTGTATGCCTTTTAGTTTTTCTCTGGAAATGTAGCAAGCTAGTGTGCATTGATATAAGAGGGGATACACAGAAACCTGCATTACAATATGCAAGTAAACTTTAGATTTATTAAATGTGTGAAATGCTGTTCAAAGATCTGGACTTCTACCAGGGGCAACTCTAGAATCTGTCCTTTAGGGGTGCTCAGCCCCGAGTGCTGACAATGGCGCTTGGCTTGAAGAACACGGTGG